CTTTGATAGTTGATAAAGTTCCTCCACGTACACACACACACGTACTGCTGCTACTGCTGTCGAGCTACTTTTGCGATATATGTACACTGTACACTCACCTATACGTACTTATATTCTCTAAATGTTTTACACAGTCAAAAAATCGCGCTCATCAGTGCCACGGCACCCCCCGACGTCCCCGCCGCAAAGTTACGCGCTCGCGGCCACACACGTCTATCTACACACACATATAGATGATACGCTCTCATATAGATATATATATTCTACGATAAAACTAGTATATAACGAATTGCGGAGCTAGCTGCAGCTCTCTCCGATTCCAATAGAATTCCAAAAGTTTGCTTTTAATCTAGCCTCGCGCTTGTACACGTATGCATGCACGCCTATGTATAATGGTACATGTGTACGAGGAAATGCATCCAAGCCTCGTACTTGTGTGTGTGTGTCTACATCGGTGGCTGTCAACATTGAAAATTAAACGCAATGTCGGCGATCGATGCTGGTCTCTTTTTCTCCCTTTACTCTCGTGGGAACCTAAACTAATTTATATTTCATTATTTTCTCTCTCTCTCTCGTTCCATGTGAATTTCGTCATTGTCGTCGTCGTCTCCACTCGTCCGTTATATTTTCGCCCTGCGCTCGCTCTTTCTCTTTCTTTTTTATTCTCTATCGATCGTCGATGCGCCGCGCGGCCATAACAGTAGTTTTTTCGTTCTCTCAAGAGAGACCAAGTTCTATCGAAAAATTCCTTACGCTCGAGTAGTTATGGTCGGCGTTCGGTCCGCCGGAGCGAACCACCACCGCCGCCGCCGCAGCTCGACTCCATCCATACCGTATTTATAAAGTTCTTCTCGCCGCCGATGAAAATCGTCTTTGGGCGCGCTAGCTAGCACAGCTACATCGAGCTACTTTGCCAAGCCGCGCGGAAACTTCTTTTTTCTTTGTACATCTTGCTCGGGCTTCTTCTTCTCGGCGTCACCCTATTAGCCGCGCGAAGAAATAAAATTCATAAATTTCAGTCTCGCGCTTCATCGGCGAAAAAGTAAGCTCGCTGCGAGAGCTGGTTTGATTGCGTCTGGTGAAACGAGTGGGACGCGCCCGAGACGCGTACGCGTGTGTATGTGCAGTTCATGTCGACGGCATCAATCGAGAGCGCAAAAAGAGGGAGAGAGATATTCCCTTCGCTCGAGTCTCTCTCTCTCGCTCTCGAATGTATACTCTTTGGCTGGGGGTGCGATAAGCTCATCGCGCTCGCTCGCTCGCTCGCGCCTTGGCTCGTTTTCGCCTGGTTGGCAGCGATAAAGGAACGCGCTGATGTGTAATACACAGAGCGCGAAATTACAGAAGATCAAATTTCGTGCCGACGCCGACGCCGCTGCCTTCGTGTGCCCCAGAGAGCTAGAGAGCTGCAGCAGCTATATACGAGTGAGATCTCGCAGCCGACGAGGAACGTATCGCACACAGACAGACGCACACGTATATGGAGCATATAGTACATTTACACGAGGAGCGCAGTGAGAAATTACTCATACCCTCTATATATACCGGCACGTGTCTGTCTGTGTGAGCAGCTCATAAAAACGTCGACGTCGTCGTCGGTTGGGCTCTCTCTTCTTCTCTTATTCTTCCTCGTGAGTTGTGCGACCGATATCTCTCTCGCACGCTCATGCAGCGGCACACGCGGAGCTCGCGTATAATAAAAGCCCGTTCCTTCTTCTTCTTTTTTTTTTCACCCCTCAAAAGAAAACCTGCCGTCGGGATATAATGACTTTTTTTCTCTAGATACGTGGCAGATCTCTCGGCGATAAAAAAGATTTCGTTTTATTCTCCTCTACCTCCTCCTCTTCTTCTTCTTCTTCATTTTTTTTTATATGTGGGTCAGTGTCACAAAGCTCTTTCTCTCTCTCTCGCGCGCGCGCACGTAGTATAGGACGTTTATATAACGAGCGCAGCAGCTCTTTCGACTTGATAATTTCCGTACAGCTCGCTCGGAAAAATTGTTTTTTGTCGCTTAACTGCTGCCTGCCTGCCTGCTGCTGTGAGCTGTATATTAATCAACGAGAAAGAGAGAGAGAGAGAGAGAGAGAGGAAGAAAAGAGCCGCAGCTGACCCCGTGTGCGACGCCAAGTACTTTTTACGAGCTTTTAACTGCTTACACAGGCTTCTGGCTGCTGCTACTGCTGCTGCTGGCCACGATCTGCATATACGTTGTATTATATTTGCAAAAGTTTATATTATACCTGCAGGATCTCCGTACACAGCGTCGGCGCGACGACGAGTAAATTATACCCATAAACGGATGCCGCCGCGCACGAGGAAAACACTACACTCGAGAGATTAAGCGCGTGGGGCTACTATATACTGCGTGTATGCGAAGTCAAACACTTGTCGTCGTCGTCGTCGTGATAGTTGCGCTGTCGAGGTCAGCGCCACCGCCACTTATATACGCGATGGGGGGTACCCGCGTAAAAAAAATCTGTTGGTAAAAAAGTTTTTAAAACTTGATGTTTGATTTAGTTTTGAAAAGTTCAGNTTCAGTAGTTCTAAGCAAAAATTCATCAACATAAGGATACGTCTGAACAAAACCAACTCTTTCAGTGAGAATGTAACAATTTGTGCAACCGTATAATGCGTTGTACTGCTTCGTATTTCTAAATAGAGCTATAGCTGGCAAATCACATGTTCCACTGATGATTAAAGCTCTAACTCGTATTGGATCAACAAAATTAGAGATTTCAAAGTTCACTCCTTGAAACAATGTTCTAAGTTCTTGCGTGAATGAGCTCATAAATAAATTTGGATGAGGCTTATCTGTACCATACCACAAACCAGCCAAAATCATATTTTCTTTTTGGATTCTGAGTTTGTAGGGTAGCTCATTGATCATCAAATAGAAAGGCCATATGCTGATCTTGGAGGACTTGAACAACGGCACTCCGTCAGTATTCCAAGTAAATGTTACATTATGGCTTTCAGATGTAAAATTATTTGGTACTGAGTTATATATTGATCCATCGAATAAATCTTCATAATTTTGCTCATTCAATTTATTCCTGTTAAATCGATAATTTAAATTGTTCCGAAATTTTTCTTTTTTAAACAGTGACTTCAATTGCTCGATTATCGAAACTCGAAGAAAGTATCGAACATTTTCAGAGTCTTCACATGTTGAGCAATATTGATCTTCTAATTCCGTAAAGCACAGTCCGCAAAAATAGTAACGATCAAGTGGTACTCTAATATCCGCGAAAAATTTTTTTAATTTATACAACGAAGAAATGCACTTATGAGGCTTGATGCAATGAAGTGAAACCATGTCTATAATACTCGCCAGTAGTGCTCCGGTCACTTTAAAGCGAGTGGCGATAGATAAAAGTAATATTACATGTTCACCAACTGTAATCGGTGCACCAGGGTAGAGTGGCTCATTGAAACGATTTTGACGTTCTCGATCATTTTCTGATTCACTTGAATTGTCCTCAGACGATGAATCGTCTTCGGATGATGAATCGTCTTCGGACGACGAATCGTCCTCGGAGGACGAATCAATTGAACTTATAATTGGAGTACTGTCAGATGAATATGACACATCGTCATTGGACGATCTTCGTTCTTCTATATCCTCATTATCTAGAAGTGTAAAATATGAAATTACAAATTAATTTTATTTTCAATTTGTTTGATTTATGTGTCGATGTATTGTAGATTTTCGTATGCGTTTCACATCATTTATGAGTTGAGCTTGTTTTTAATATTTGATTGTTATGTCTTAAAGCTTGTTTGGGTAAAGAAGTAAATCCATGAAAAACGAGAGAGCGCGATAATCGCTTCTGCTCTCTATGGTACACGGGTGAGCAGTACTCGGCGTTCATGTCTATGACTTGCTTGTGCGTCAAGTGTACATGCACATTGTTCGGTTATATTAAAAAAAAAACTATGTATAGTTCTAGACGTTTTATAGCTTTGCGCACACGACTGCACTCGCAAGACATAAATAGTAGTCTTATAGTACACTTATTTATATTAATTTTATAAGTAGACTCATGTATTTCAAAATCACGCCTCGCAAATGGGACGGAAATTCTCTGCATGAGTTTTGGAGTAATCACTTGTGGTCACAGGCATTGTGCATATTTTGCGTACCGTTAAAAATATCCTCATTATCCGAAAAGTTATCTTGGTTTGACACGTATGAATTCGTGGACGAAGCGTACGAGCGGCAAAAATCGTCGTCACTATTTATATGATGATTGTTGTCACTACAGCCGGACGATACACAGCTGCTTGAAGACGATGAAGTTGACGATGATGATGACACATCATTGCTTGAAGACGATGAAGTTGACGATGATGATGATACATCATTGCCTGAAGTCGATGAGCTTGTTGATGACAAATCATCATCCAAATTCCTTAATTGAGCTAGTATTCGATACCTGAATTATTTAATGATAATAATAAAAATCAACGTGCCGGTACATCGAACGGTGTATTGTTGAAATCATAAATTATACTGAAAAAGGGAGACGATATATGCAACGCAAAAATTTCAAGCGGACGTGCCGAATTTTTTCGTATTAAAGTGTTAAATTGAGTTGTGATTTCGTCACGACATTTGGCCCCCTCGGGCGAATCTCGTTAGATCGTCGACAGAGAAGTCAAATGTGGATTCTTGCAAATATCTCACTTTTTCTCTGTATGAATCACACATAGATTAATCTTATTTTATATAATAAATACCTGGCTGATTTAGAATATTCTTCTAAGTTTTTTTTTGAATGACTCATTGTTCGATTTAATAAATTATTCGAGTTTTTGATCTCACTTTATGATGTATACAATTTTTAAATGAATATTTATAGGCTAATTATGATTTTTAGGCTAATAAATTATGGTTAATTATGCTTATCTATTTGTAAGCAAATTCATAAATTTGTTCTCCTATATTTAGCATGTGGATAGTATACATGTACATATGATTGAGAATTGTATATTGTACATAATTTACTATGTACTTCTGACTTCACATTATTGAAAGTTACATAACCATTTTGCCTATTTTCAACGCGTATCAAGTGATCTTTACATTTTTCAATACTTATTTAATAATGTAAAAAATGTATCATCTAATTTTATATACGCAAGACAAATCGGTGGGTATAGTTGACGATAAGAATTTGAAAAAGAAAAACGGTTCGTATCAAGCAAAATGGGGTAAAAGCTGGTACGCTGTTAAAGTTTTGAAAAAACACGGTAAGCTTTTTCGATTTTTTAACTTTTATAATGTATCATGTAGCTTTTGTGTATATAGCTTTTTCGTTTGTGTATCAACTATTTTCCAGAAAGCAAAGAGTTTCTAGACGAGTTATCTGTGACTACCACTGGCGAGATAATTAACGAAGAAAAGAGGTTATCCTTGTCACCCGATCTACTGCTACGTAAACGTGAACTACGAAAAGAAGACCGAAAAGAAAAAGAAAGATTAAAAACCATAAATTCTCAAAAGAATGAAGAACTTTTGATGGTAAAATCGGTATTTGAATGCGGAGACGCATCTAACGACAACTTGCAGTGAGTGAATTTATTTTATGTTGCACATCAACAGCTTGATAAATATAATTTATATTTCATCAATTATATTACAGAGAAACAAATCATCACTCTGAAAATGATCCTAAAAAAGAGACGTCTAAAGAATGCTTGAAAGTGATGACTCAACCCGCCAAGATCTTGTTTCCTCAAAAGATAAATAAGCAAAATGTCGATAAAAAAGAAAATAATTCTGTTGCGCCCGAGAAAACTTGTGTCACCCCCAACCTTTCAGATTCGGCTACTAAAAAATCTCGACAGTGCACTGATGTGTCTTCAAGGCGAGAATACGCATTACCTGTATGTATGACCTAACCATATTTTAACATTATTCATACATTTTACAGAAGTGCTAACGAAAAGCCCAAGCAAAGCGGAAATGCATTGAAGTCCGATGTCCAAACTACTTCATTTTCGAAAAATGTACATTCTTCAAAAGGAGGCGTGAGGTAAATTAATATTTTTACGTACATATACTTCTCCGTTAGTGGCTTCATTTGCTTTTAAATTTTATTTGTTTATGCATTTATATAAAAATTGAATAATCATTTTCTCTACTCGATCAGTAGTGAGTTGAACAAAAAGAAAAACGATGAAAAAGAAAAATCGTCAGATTCCGAGGATAATGAATCTTCATCCGACTCGAATAGCTCAGACTCTGAATCGGTAGAAAAATCGGATTGTCAAGTTCAATTAAAAACCCCCGACCTTTCAGACTCTGCGGCGATAAAAAATCGAAGATGCACTAATGAAAAGCACGAGCTAAGCGAAATTGCATCGAAGTCTGAAATAGCTGATGGCAAAACTACTTTCTCTCCGAAAGATGCACGTTCTGGGGGCAAAAGGTGAATTGATATATAGATACTAAATTTTTTTTGTATTTATTTATTAGTTTCATCAATTATTTTCAAATTTTATTTATTTATTTTCTCATTTATGCGTAAATGATTAATCATATTCTATTTTTGTTCAGAAACGATTCGAAAAAAAAGAAAAATAAGAAAGGGAAATCGTCATCAAAAAAAAGATCAGCTTCCGAAGATAATGAATCTTCATCCGACTCGAATAGCTCAGACTCTGAATCGGTAGAAAAATCGGATTGTCAAGTTCAATTAAAAACCCCCGACCTTTCAGACTCTGCGGCGATAAAAAATCGAAGATGCACTAATGAAAAGCACGAGCTAAGCGAAATTGCATCAAAGTCTGAGCTAGCTGATGGCAAAACTACTTTCTCTCCGAAAGATGCACGTTCTGGGGGCAAAAGGTGAATTGATATATAGATACATTTTTTTGTATTTACTTATTAGTTTTATCAATTACTTTCAAATTTTATTTATTTATTTTCTCATTTATGCGTAAATGATTAATCATATTCTGTTTTTGTGTTCAGAAACGATTCGAAAAATAAGAAAGGGGAATCGTCATCAAAAAAAAGATCAGCCTCCGAGGATAATGAATCTTCCTCCGACTCGAATAGCTCAGGCTCTGAATCGGCAAAAAAATTGTATGATTGTCATTATGAATTTAAAAACCCCGACCTTTCAGACTCTGCGGCGAAAAAATATAAAAAAGGCACTACTGAAAAATGCGAGCTAAGCAAAAATTCATCAAAGTCTGAGATAGCTGATGGCAAAACTGCTTTCTTTTCGAAAGATGCACGTTCTGGGCGCAAAAGGTGAATTGATATATAGATACATTTTTTTGTATTTACTTATTAGTTTTATCAATTACTTTCAAATTTTATTTATTTATTTTCTCATTTATGCGTAAATGATTAATCATATTCTGTTTTTGTGTTCAGAAACGATTCGAAAAATAAGAAAGGGAAATCGTCATCAAAAAAAAGATCAGCCTCCGAGGATAATGAATCTTCCTCCGACTCGAATAGCTCAGGCTCTGAACCGGCAAAAAAATTGTATGATTGTCATTATGAATTTAAAAACCCCGACCTTTCAGACTCTGCGGCGAAAAAATATAAAAAAGGCACTACTGAAAAATGCGAGCTAAGCAAAAATTCATCAAAGTCTGAGATAGCTGATGGCAAAACTGCTTTCTTTTCGAAAGATGCACGTTCTGGGCGCAAAAGGTGAATTCATATATAGATACTACATTTTTTTGTATTTACTTATTAGTTTTATCAATTGCTTTCAAATTTTATTTATTTATTTTTTTCATTTATGCGTAAATGATTAATTATATTGTTTTTTTGTTCAGAAACGATTCGAAAAATAAGAAAGGGAAATCGTCTTCAAAAAAAAGATCAGCTTCCGAGGATAATGAATCTTCCTCCGACTCGAATAGCTCAGGCTCTGAATCGGCAAAAAAAGTGTATAATTGTCATGATGAATTTAAAAACCCCGACCTTTCAGACTCTGCGGCGAAAAAATATAAAAAAGGCACTACTGAAAAATGCGAGCAAAATGAAAATGCATCGAAGTCTGAGATAGCCGATGGAAAAACTCCTAGTAATGTAAAAAAAAGTTATAATGAGAAGAAAAGAAGAGGGTCGACAGGAAACAATTCAGATTCTGAACATGACGAATTTTCTGACGATACCAAGTGCTCTGACATTGAATCAGAGGAAAAAATGTTTCATAGTGGTCGTTCAGATTGTTCGGATCAATCGAGATCATTAAAAAGTACTGATCAAACGACTTCGACTGAAAATCAACTTCCTGATTCGCTGAAAGTCTTTTGCTCGACATTAACGCAAGGTAATTTTATGTAGTGTTTACAATATTTTCATTGCATGTTTTAAAAAAATATATACTTTTATAAAATAGAAACGTTATGTTTATAGAACAACGAGAGACGATATTACAATTCATGAAATGCATTTCAAACGAACTTAGTAATGGGCATATAGCAAATAATCTCTCGATGGCAAAGACGCGTTCACGTGACAATAAGAATTCCGATGATCAAGTATAATTTAAATTTTGTTTTCTTCTAAATTGGATTTTCCATATATATATGTTGGATTATATTTTAGATAGAATTAATGTCTGGATCAGGTGTAATTGTCAGTAAGAAAGAAGTTAAACGCTTACACTATCGTCACTATAAAGAGCCTAGGGAGCTTGCTCGACAACTTTTGATGTTGATCTATGGTGAAGAAAATCTTGGAAAGTATACCAAATCAGGAAGAAATAATACACTTAAAATATCAAAAAATGTTTTTGACGCTATAGAAGGTAAAAAAATTACTATTTTTATCGATATTAATTACTATTATACTGAAATAATATCAATCTTATTACCTTCTTTCAGACTACATCAATAAAAATGCCCCCAGAAAAAGATTTAAGATAAGTCATAAAGAATATAAAGATGTCATTACATACTGTTGCGGTAATGCGAGGTACAAAGAAAAAAAAACTAAAGGAAATGATAAAACTAAGAAGCGCAAGGCCAGAAGCAACAGCCAAGAGCGACAAAAAAAAAGATCTAAAAAGTAGCTGGCGGCCTAATCAATTAATCATTCGTTGTTTATTATTTAAATTGTTCTCATGATGTTAATATTAATTTCACGTTGAAAAAAAATAATTTGCAATAAAAACCACAGACAAATTTTTAAAATTTTTTTAAAACTTGGAAAAAGTTTAGAAAAGTTTTTAAATTGTAGGGAATTGCGACGATCGAACGTTGCAATTCCCATTTCTGAACTTTTCAAACATCAAGTTTTAAAAACTTTTTTACCAACAGATTTTTTTTACGCGGGTAATATACAAAACCAGAGCTGCTGCTGCCGCTGCTGCGCGAACGAGGGAGAAAAGTCGCTCTCTTTCGTTCGACTATACAATGTACGTATGTAGCTCTCTCTCTCACTTTGGCCCAGGTCCAAACCGGAGCGAGAGAGAGAGAGAGAGAGACTCTCGTTGCACAGCTGAAAGAGTCGCTCACACGTACCTGCTATACTATACTACGAGGCTCTGCCTCTCGACTCGCCGCGCATAAGCTACAGAGCGCCCCAGCCGCAATCGTATCTCATTATGCAGATGTTCGGTGCTGCTTCCACACTGCCACGTCCTGTGTTTATTTTCCTACTAGAGAGAAGCTGTATATAGCTGCTATATAGTGGATTTTCGATTATAAGCTTGCTCAGCAGCAGCAGCAGCAGTAGTAAAGCGACATTTTCCAGCTGAAAGAGCATCGCGTACAGCGAAAGGAACGTGACGCGCACCAATTGTTACCTTGTACATAAACAAAAAACCGCTGCCAATGTATTGGCAAGTAGCTTCCTCAAATTTTTTTTTAACTTTGAAATATTAGTATTGTCCTTTCACATTCTTTTTATAATTGTAATCTAATTTTTCTATAATATTATTCAAGTTATATTTTTAACTAATATTATAACCGAAAAGTAAACGCAGGGAAAATTCGAAAATTCGAAAATTTTTTTTCTTAAATAGAAAAAAAAACGTTACGTTTATCGATAAATACAATTTTCTGGCTTCATCCTTACATCATAACGAACAAAATACGCCCTTCCCCGTCACGATACGTGCTAACGTTATCGAGGAATCACTCTACACAGCCATACAGCCGCATACACCCACGTACATGCCAAAATGTGTCAGAAATTCGATCTAGTATATAGAAATATCATTAAATATACCCTACGATGATTCTATAAAAAAGCCGAAATGGAGCCCATCACAAAGCTTCCTCTATGAGGAAGCAAAAAAATCAAATTTTATTCTTGTGTTAGCATGTGTAACTGGACGCGTCTAAACGCCGTATCTGAGCAAGCTTGGGTCGCTCGCTTTCGTGATTAAAAGACATAATTACAGTATTTATGTCTTTTAATCACTACAACGAGCGACCGAAGCCTGCTCAGATACGGCGTTCAGACGCGTCCAGTTACACATGCTTACACACGAATAAGATTTGATTTTTGATATTCTACTAACTCGACTCATTCTCTTGTAGTCGCTACGATTTTGGGTGTTCGCCGCCTAGCGGTGACTTTGCTAACTATACTCATGATTGACTCGAGAACATCGTGACGTCTAAAAAGCGACGTTTAACGATACATAACGGGAGCTGGCACACATATCGATGGATGTACGCGACGCGCGAGATACACAACAGGAGGAGGGCGGGTAAAAGGAAAGTTTGTGTGAAATCGGGGTCAAGCGCCCCTCTTTTCTGACTCTCTATACACGTACCTCCCGACTCTTCAGCTCGAGTTTTTTTTTTCGTTCGTTCGTTCGTATAATATACGTGGAGAGCAGAAACGGTGCTCTGCTGCAACCCGGGATGATCCTCCACTGTAGCTATATGTATATATCATAGAGCGAAGCTCTCAACGAAACTGTACTACTGTACGCGATACGATGAAGCGAGCGCGAGTCGCTCGGCGGCCAATCTGCACGCACACATGTTTTTTCTCCCGCTAAATTCACTTTTACTCGCTGCTCCGGTATACGTATTATATATACTTCGCATGACAATGGACTACATACAGCATTAGAGTTGGCTCGATCTCCCGAGAATAGCATGTATCATCATCATCATTATTATTATTATGAACGCAATAGGCGAAATTACGATGGGCTGAAGCGCGCGACTAGCGAGTAGTATAGTGCCGTCGCGCGGCGGCGGCGACGCGTTAATTAATATAGATATTGCGGCGAGCTTTCGTGAATCAATTCTATATGTACTCGATGGTATATACATAATGCAAGGATAGAGCTATATACCGTATATATACCGGAGCACTGGCATATAAACGAGTAATTATAATATATAGTGGCGGCAACATCAAGACGCGCTTGTATACACGCAGCCGCGCGCGCTCGCTACTCTCCCGAGCTTGTATACATCATCAGCTGGCGTTGCATTATAATGTCTCTCTCTCTCCGGCTAGATGTATACGTGCTGGCAGTACGCGAGCAGAAATGGAAGGGTAAATAGAGGCGAATTAGATTCGATAATAGCGCGTGACAATGTTACGTTGGGCTTGCTCGACATTATCTTAATGACGATCGACTTGGCAGCAGCGGCAGCTAGCTCCAGAGATGAATGCATATGTTTGCTCCGCTGCATCGGTGTTTGTGTGCGCGCTACTGCGGCGTCGTCTGCCCGAGCGCCGCTGCTCCACAATCTATATTCATTTATCTAATATAGTTGCCGCCGCCACCGCGGCGTATACGTATAATACACGTCCCGGGCGTAAATGAAGAAAAATCGTGGATCTTCGGAGACTTCGCCTCGATTTCGCCTAGAGCGCTATATGGAAGATAGCGTTCTGTGTATATGCCACGGTGATGGCTGCGGACTTTACTTCTTCCAGCTGCTATACGCTATTCATTTATAGATCCTCGACTGGTGCATGTGTGTGTACGCGTGTGTATAGGCGTATACACAGGTTGCGTAACTCTCACGCTCGGCGACAAAATATTAGCTTATTACGAGCGAGTAAAAAGCCTCTTTTCATCAGACTCGCGAGCTGCGCGAGAGGAAGAGAAAGAAATTTCCCACGCGCGTCTTGCTGCGATAGAATAAGCTGATTTACGAGCGAGCGAGCGACGCGCGACGTATCAAGCTCCCGCGCGTATTTATTTTCTCGATGCAACAGATAGGCGCCGCCGCGTGTAGGTGTTTTCTTGTTGTCGTTGTTGTTGTTGTTTTTTTCTTTCCTTTTTTTTTTCATTTCATCGTTGCTGCACGCGCGTACGTGTGCGTATACGTATACCAACTGTATATAGAAAGCATTTGAGCAATCGATATGCGCTCTTTTTTGCCTCGCGCGCGTTGTACACGGTGCGTATACTGAAAGAGCATAAAAAAACACTCGCACACGCACACGAGCATTGGCTGTCAAGCGGCGGGAACATTTACAATACTCGATTTGCTCTCGAGAGTAGTAAAGCTCGGATGTATGTATTTTGTAAAACATCAATTCTCATTTACTTCGGCCATCGACGAGCTGTGCTATATCGGCGCACGCCAACTTTATTCTCCCTCTCTCTTTCTGTATACTTTCTCTCTCTCTTTGCAAAAGCCCCGAAGGTGTGTACTTTTTTTCTTAAAGCGTCCAAGTATCGAGACGATTGTGTTTGAGCGCCAAAATGTCGAAATCAATGAGCTATTATGCTAATGCAACAGTTTGGTGAAGAGCTCTCGAGTTATATACCTCGTTCGTGCGCTATAACGAATATAGCTCCGAGCAACAGCAGAAAAACAAACCGCGTCTCGTTTTGTCATTTTTGATTAACGGTGCGCGTGCACGAGCATTTCGCGTAAACATGCACATCGTCGTTGGTTTCCTTTTCTTACAAAAAAAGAGAGAGAGAGAGAGAGAGAGAGAGAGAGAGAGAGAGAGAGAGAGAGAAGGCTCGAACGAGCCGGAGCATGCCATAAAACTCCCGGCAAAACACATAATGCATACAAGACGTCGATTATGTAGCTCGTATACACAAGCTCGACCGAAGGAAAATAAAACGGGCGCGTGTGCTGTGCCGTGCAGTGTGTCTTTTTTGGCGTGCACGTTATATATACCGTGTAGTAGAAAAGAAGAAACTCTTCGCGCGCGCGCGCGCGGGCGAGCATTTCGGATGTAGGAGAAGAATAAAAACTTGCGAAACAGCTTCGAGGATAGGTATCCGCTGCTGCACACGCATATCTTGCGCGCGCGCATGTGTCTGTTTTACGTAGCTTTTCTTTCTCTCGGCAAAGTTTCTGTTGTCGCGCATTTTTTGCCCCCCCTCTCCCTCATGATCCTCGTAGAGCATCGCAGCTCGAACGAAGAATAAATACACAGAGTCTCTCTCTCTCTTAAAATGCCATTATAAAACACAACGAGCGAGGATTTTAATAACGGCAAATACGTCCGTGTCATCTTTGTCGTCAAAGCTCGACGCTCGCGCGAGGGAAAATATAATGTACAGTCGAAGGGAAAGAAGAGCGAGAGAGAGAGAGAAAGGTCGGAAATTGCGAGATTACGCGGGTTAAGCTCGTATACGTATATAGAGCAGAGAAGAGAAAGGAGGCGGAATGATGTTTAAAGCGTCGAACGATTTTGCCGGCGTAAAAACAATTTTTAAAAAGCCTTTCATCCTCGGGTTGCCGCCGCCGCCGCCGTTGCTGCTGGTAGCAGTGGTAGTGGTGGGTATAGTGGGAGGCCAGTAACCCACCTACGTCAGCGATATCTGATCGCGCGCGAGCGAGCTGAGCGTCGTTCGCTGCCTCTATACTCGCGCGCACAGAGGGGATTTTTTCAACCCAAATGTCTCTCGCGAGCGCCGCTTATTGCCCTCGATATATATTCTTATACCCCATCTATATCGTAAATCTTCTTTCACCCCCCCCCCCCCCCCCCCNCCCCCCCCCCTCTCTCCCCTTTACTTACACTTCTTCAGCTCGACTTCGACTTCTTTGCTACTTCTGTTTTTCACTGTTGAATCACAATTTCGCCTCTCTTTCCACGTTGGACAATGTTCAAGCTGATGCGATTTTTTTCAGCTCGCTTCATCCTCTCTCTCTCTCTCTCTCCTTTCTTACTTTTTTTACTTTTTTTGAAAACTCGCCAAGATTCTATTTACGACTTTTGCTACTGAACCGAAAGAACGAGTAAGAAGTAGAAGTAGAAGAAGAAGAAAGTCCGCTGGATTATCCATGTGCGTGTAACGAGAAAAACGACGGCGATGACTCGCTGATTTTAACGTCTTTTTTGTGTGCAATCCATGTATACGCGAGCCGTAGCGCGCGAGAAAAGAGTGAGAGAAAGAGAGAGAGAAAGCTCGACGAGATAAGGCAAAATAGAAAACAACTCTTGCACCGGCTAGTCGTAAAAAAAGCTGAGTCTGGAGACTCTCATTTTTTTTCCTTGCTCTTTATTTTATTTACATCCTTAAAAGCTATTGAAATTCTTTCGATTTACACACTCGACCCCCGCGCGCGCGCGCGCGTACCACTTTCTACATAAATGTGTACAGCATTAATGAAATAAATTTTAAAAAAAAAGCTTGCCACGCGCTGCATTTGTTTCCTTTGTACTTCTGCAGACACAGAATTTATAACCAGGTCATATACTCTTTCAGTTATCTCAAATAAAAACATTGGTCGTAATGAAAAAAAGAGCGCGAGTGAGAGAGAGAAAAAAGCAACGAGTAAATCGACATCGGAAATCTATCTCTCTCTCTCTCCGTCGACGTATAGAATTTCGTTACCCCAGAATGAATCGATCTGGGTTAAAATCGAAAAATCTTAATATTCGTTTTGAAACTGCGCACCCATATATGTATATATGTGTGTGCGTGTGTGTGTGGCAGGTAATACCATGGCTGGGGCGTTATATAGACCTCGCTCCGGTCACGACCACCAGCAAAAGTAACTACTAGTAGGATCATCATATAGGCCGCCGCTGCCGCCGGGGCGGGCGTGCACATGTGCGCGAATCTATTTTCGAGGCTTAAAAAGCTCATATCTGGAAGCGCGGCTGCCGCCTCTCTCTCTCTCTCTCTCTCTCTCGTGTGGCAGTAATAGCGAGCCTCACATATCATGCTACGCTGTAGACTACGCGTACTTGTGTGTGTACGTGCGGTATATATAGACGAACGCACCTTTATTACCAGCTGCCAGCAGAAGCACGGTACATGACTCTATTCTTGATAAAACGTATTGCCGCGCGGTGTGTACGCCGCTAAAATACCGCGCCGACGTTTTTCTTCGTCGAGGGGAGGCACGCACACACACATATACACAAAAAAGAGAGGGGAAAAAAAAAGAAACGTATTTATCCTTCTGTAATATCGTTATTAAATATAACGGAGCCGCGCACTCTACTCGCAAGCTCAAGGCAGCAGTAGCAGCGAGCAAGCAAGCGGTATATATCTGTACGTAGCTCGAGCTATATGGAGGTGCAGCCAACAAAGTTCCAAAATTAATCTCTACAGCTAATGTCTCTTTCCCTTCCTCGCCGCCTCTCTCTCTCGCTCTCTCTTGGACTACTGCGCGAAATTAACGTCAGGCGGAAAGTTTCCCCCGAAAGCGCGTCAACAGTAATTCAAATGAAATTCATGTTTCCCCAGGTATACGCGCGCGAGCGAGCGAACGGGTGCTATACATAGAACAGCAGCAGCAGCGGCAGTAGAAGCAGCAACGAAAATTCATATACACACATAAAGGCAGACGAGCTCGAGACAAGCTGCCTCGCGTTCAGTTTCGACAGGCGGCAGCAGCTTGCGAGCCGAGGTATATATATCGAGGAGAAGCTCGAGAAAGAGAAAAAATGAGCTCGCTGTAACTCATTGGGTTCTCACGTGCTCCGCAGGCAGCTCACCTCCATATATAGAATGTGCAATTTAACAAGCTTATGACCAAGCTATTATCTCAAAGTGATAGCTACATCTATCGCTATATATATATTGCGTCCTACAGATGGCATGAGCTTTCTCTCTCTCGCTCGCCTTCTTGAACAATGGAACAATCACCATACAAAGCACACAATCTGAATTTCATAGTTTCCGAGCGCTATATATATAGATCGGGCGCTATACGCCTCGTACGACAGCCGAACACAGAGAGCAGCATCGGCTTTGGTGCAGTATATGCGCATGTTCACGTATCCGTCTGTGTGTGGGTACATCAGCGAGCGCATAACTCGCGCGAATTTGTTCAACTGCGCGCGCAAGATGCGTCAATTATCTGCTCATTTCGTACCTGTTATCTCGTCTCGTTTCTCTCTCTCTATGGTCGTTTCGTTTTGTTCGCATAGATAGCTATATATATAGACACCGGGGGGCCGGGGGAGCTTGATTAAAACTTGCGCTCGCTCGCTCGCTAGCTAGCTGGATTTATATATTATTCGTTATGAGACTGCCAGCGGAGCAGTAGCGGTAGCTCGACGATTCGGGATTAACGCGCGGCGGTGGCGGCGATTCGTCGAGTCGCATTAGCTTCAATATTTGCATCCAGAAGCTGCCGCGCGTCGACTTCTATGTATATTATACACGTTGTAACAAACGGAATTCGCTAACGAGCTCGACACGATCATCGTCGTCGTTGCATTATACAGCCTTTCGGAATTGCACAGCGAAGCGATCCTCCCTAAAGGCAAGGCAATCGAGCGCTAAAAAAAAAGAAAGAAAGAAAAAAATTACGTGTATAATACGAGTCGCGAGTCGACATCGCGCGATTATGCCGGCCGGCGAATCTCCTTGACTGCGCGAGTAGTACTAGTCTCATGCAATAATAAGCGGAATCAATAGGGCCGTGTGTATATGTGTGTGTGTTGTAGCGTGTGCACGTACATATGTATAATAATAATCGCTCGGCACAGGTGTGTATACGTGTACAGGTTGCCTCGAAAATTATGTTAGTAAGCCAAGGTTAGGCTTAAAACCTTGCGTTAGTCTCTCTCTCTCTCTGCTCAGCCCCGCGTGTGTATTATACACGCACCTGCAGTGGTAGTATATAGCAGCAGAGCCCCGCTGGCACACGGCACCATATCACGGTCAAGCATGAATACTTGATGCACGTCGCGGCGGCAGCGGCAGCGCGAATTATTGTTGTTATCGCGCGCGGGGGTGGGAGGGAGGGAGGACGTACACCGCGACCCGCGATGGTCAATAAGTACAGGTGCATGGGGGTGCCTCTGGGTTGTTTCCGCCAGCGCACCGATCGTCCGTAAAACTATATACACGTATAAAATATACGACAACAACGAGGGAGAGCGAGTGCAGCCCTCGCGCGCGAGCTCGAATGCTAATGGAATGTATAATAGGCAATGACCTTTGGGGCTGAAAAGTCGGCTTTTACCAGCGAGCCAGCCCTGCAGAGCCAGCTGCCAAATCGGTGGCGGCCTAGACGCGAGGTTAACACGCTACCGCGCACACAACGGCACAGTAGCCGGAGAGCTTTTATATATTACAGCTGCACGTGCGGATATATCGCGTGCGCGCCGTGGCGGAGCTTTCGGCAGCTCGACTCTCGGGCTCGCGAGCTCTTCTTCTTCCGCGTTCATATTATATCAGCTGGCCCTCATCGCTCTGTTTCTCGCGAGCCGCTGCAATTACTCGCTCACTCGTACATACCTACACACACACACACACACACACACACACACACACACATGCGACTAGTTAAGCTCGCGTGGCCCGTGCCTCGAGCAAAATCCCCAGTCCTGCTCTCGCGAGGTGTGCAGCGCACCGCGCTTATAAACTCGACAATCGGCGCCTTATTCCGGAGGACGATTTATGGATTTATCGCAAGTCTCGGAGCTTGGCTCGCGTATACACGGAGAACGAGACACGCTATATTCCATACCGAGCGTCGTCGTCGGCGGCGGCGCTATAACTCACACCCGGTGGTACGTAGGTACCGTGTATCCTCGACTCTTGGCCCTCCTCCTCCTCCTATTCGTGTGTACATTATTATTGATTAGTCGTACTTTAACGTACACGGAACTCTGGACTGCAGTTGTATACTACTGTATAACGTACGGTATCAGGGCTCGCTCTGAATAAACAGTATAGCAAGTACACTGTCGAGAGCCATTGTGCGAGCTGCTGCTGCTGCGTGTGCGTATATTATATAAATAAAAACGAGACGACAGCGAGTCGCGAGTGTACGCGCGCGCGCGGGCAACATAATTACGCCATGCTGAACAAAGTCTTGCGTAATAAAGAGGAAAAGGAGGCAGAGAGTGCAGAGCGCAGCTAGCTAGAGCGGTGCAGTGGCTGAAGGCGAGCTATACTAGCTTCTAGTGCGCCTCCCCAGCCCCCTTCTCCCCCCGCATATAAACAAAGCTTTCAAAGAGTAACTTGCGGAGAGAGCTTTTAATATGATGCGGGTTGCGAGCAAAGACAAAAGATAAGAAAATACGCGCAGAGAGAAAAGGGAGTGAGAGAGAGAGAGTGGGCTTTTCATAGCGTATATATACAGCAGCAACGGCACAATAAGCTGCACTATCCTATTTATTTCATCACTCTGTGTGTGTATATAAACCTCGAGCGACTGTGTTTATATTTTATGCGTGCGTACATCAACGTAAACAAAAAATTAAAATGTCGCCATTCCTTGCTTGCTTGCAGGTATCGTCATCATCGTCACATCGGAGCTCGAGCGATGGATCGACTTGATGGAAGAACCGCGTGACTTTGCGTGACTCTGCGGAGGAGGAGCACCCGCTGCTGCAGTACTCTCTTTAACGACGATCGTCGTCATCCACATTGAATCCTGATGTCGTCGGACTGCTGCCGCTGCCGCTGCCGTGAACCACCACCCATCGTCGTCGAGGAGCTGGCAATACTGAGACTGGCGCATCATCCACTGACGAATTGCCTAGCGCTGCATCTCGAGCTCATGCTATCCCAGGCCAATTTCCCTCGGAGACGGAGAAAATGCTGAGGAGGCTATGGCGTCGTGACGCGCCCCACGTGCGAAAGTAGGCAGTGACAACCTCCTCCTGCTCCTCCTCGTTATCCTGCTGCCGCCGCCGCGAGTGCGCGTGTGTGTTTGTGTATAATGACGACGACGACGACGAAGATGATGTTGACCAGTGCGAACGGGCGGGGAATCGAGGCGGCGAGGCTGCTTCTGCTCTGGCTGCTGTTCGCCTCGATTTGCTGGTGGCTGCCCGGCAGCGAGGCCCAGAAGCCCCTGCTGACGGGCGCGAGGAAGCGCGACCTCTACATCGCCGGCCTCTTCCCCTACGCCACCCACGTGCCCGAGAGCATAGTCGGCCGTGGCGTCATGCCGTCCGTCAAGCTGGCCATCGACCACATCAACGACAATCCCAACGTCTTGCGCAATTATCGACTGCACATGTGGTGGAACGACACTCAGGTTGGTACATACATTCTCGAGTTATGATATCGATCGACGTGCGTCGCGACCGCGCGACGATTTTTTATTTCAACTTTGTATATACGCGATGTACACGTTATATAATATACACTCGTACGAGCCGATCAAGCAGCTTTTGTCCGAGGCACTTAACGGCCGACTGCAACGGTCGCCTCGTTATCGAGATTTTGCCTTTTGTTAAAATGTCCCCCTTGCTCTCGTCTATACAGATAGTAGTACTGCTGTCCTGCATTTGGTCCAGGACAAATTACATACGGGCCAGGGCTCGCTCAGCTCTGACACGTGTAATAGCCTCGAGCGGCTACTGCCTCTCTCTCTCTGTGTACCTGTAACTGTACTGCACACACAAACGTATATGATACGTAACGCTTGGACACATATTATTGACCTGTACTACTTGTTTGTAAGCGAGTCGCGCCGTCCGATAATGTTGTTGGAAACGGCACGACCGTAAAACGCGCCACGAGCTTCTTTCATTGTCAACTGTAATTTATATCGAGAAAAATATCCTCGTGCAGCTCTCGAGCGCGATGCGGTTAAACGAAAGAGTTATTATAATGAATTTTGACAGATTTATGACCGCGCGCGCGCGAAGCAGCGTTGAAAAAAGAAAGCCTCTTAAATCTATATATAGCTAACTGCTATATAGATACCGAAATTGCGATTGAAACATCTCTCAGGATGGTATTCAATCTTTCTCGTCGGCGGCGTTGGCGGCGCTCTCGATTAAAACGCCCTTGTTCTTCTATCTCTATCTGTCTCTCTTCGGAGGGAGGATGCTGCTAGCTAGAATCTCTCTCTCTCTCTCTCTCTCGTCTTCCCTCGTTCCCCTACTATATCTAGACGGAAGCGTGCCTCCCAGAAATGAGATTTCCAATCATTCGGAATTTATATTGGATTCTTTTCTTCCGCGAACATTATCTTCAAAAAAATGCCACTCGCAACCTCGTTGTTTCTATCAATTAAAAATTTATGCCAGTCGTTTTTTTTTCGCGTTCTTGTCGTCGCGGGAGAGATGAAGCAGCGTAGTACCTACACCCTACCATCCGGCGTGGCTTGGCGCACAGCTAAAGAGATTAATTATCGAAATAATAAACCACGTCGAGGAATGTTTGAGAGAGAGTGAGGAGGCAGCAGCGTGCCACGCGTGATAAGCGAAACGGATCGTTAAAGTGAAAGAGGCGAGAGAGAGAGAGAGAGAGAGAGAGAGAGGAAGATAACTCGACGGCCGGGCGTATCAAGAGAGTTAGAGGTATGTGCGCAACGAAAGAGAGAGGGAGAGCCTCGCACAGAGGAAAAAAGCAAAGTATTCTGCTCCTTTCTCTTCTCATCCTTTTTTTTTTTGCTATCCAGAAAGAGAGAGAGATCGTTGAACGATGTGATTGCTTGACCTCGTTTTTCCTCCTATTTATTCTTTTCTTTTACTGTCCCGTTCTGCGCTCGGCTCTCTTCTCTCTTTTTTTTCTCTCTCTTCTTGATACTACCGGGTATACCTGCTCTGACTGCTTTATCAAGAAAGAGAAATTGTATTAGTTAGCGAGAATCCACAATTGCGATGAAAAAAAAAACAAAATTGTAATGCCGCTGCCGCTAGCGCGAGGGTCGAAAAATCAAGTGTGACGCCGTGGAGAATTTAATTTCAAAAACCCCTCACCTGCTGCTGCCGCTGCCTGACGTCGTATAATACGAGCGCCCCTCGCTCGCTACTGCGCCTTCGCTTAAGGCCGCTCTATAGCGCGGCACACAGCTCGTATCGTAATGTTATAACGCATATGCAGGGAGGGATTAAAGAAAAGCGAGCGGGAGTCTGCTGCTGCTGCCGCTGCTGCTACTACCTGCGCTCTCGGCACACGGCAAGAAAATTAATTTACCGCGAATGAGTTTAATAATCTAAGGCATTAAATTGCGTGAAACAGGCTTCCGCCTACGTACGCACGCGTACGACGATTATTACTTGTGCGCTCTCTCTCTCTCTCTTTCTCTCTATATAGGTGGGGAGGAGGTTCATCATCGCTTGAATTGCGTAACGTCCTCGCGCAAAATTTATGAAAAACAAGTCCATTTTGTAATGTAATTTTAACGCCGCCGCCACTGCTGCTCCGCATGTAGAGCTCGGAGAGAGAGAGAGAGAGAGAGAGCTTAATGATTTAGGTGACAGCTGCGCGATTATAATACGTTAACAAAAGGTCAGCGAAAAGCAGCGCGACGGCGGCCCTTTCACTATCTCCGTGCGCGAATCGTGTTCTTTCAAAAGTCTTTTAAATTACCTCTCCGATCTCTCTTCGCCAAAGCCGACGCGCGCGTTTGAGCTCGGATATATACTGTATGGCCCGAATTCCAATCTTTTTTTCCTTACTCGCATTTGTCGCTATATGCTCGAGATTTGATTTATCATTCTCATTCTCTTTCTTTTTCTCCTCCTTTTTATTGCCTTTACCTAATCTTGCGAGGGGCTGTATGTACTTTTCAAAAGTTCACGCCGCTCAAAGATATCGTTTGGAAAAGTATGAGAAATTTTTTTTATAAAAACCTTTTATTTCAACTAATAAAAGGTTGCTATAGGAAGTAATGAAAATAATTTTAATAATATAGCTTGGATTAAAATTATTTGATATGAATGCGAACCATGCTTTATTATTAACATCATTTTTATTTTATTTTACGATAAATATCATTAATGGGGATTAAAACTTCTCAAATTTTCTTTGCCGAAGTATGTAGTTAACTCGTACCTCGACTTATACATTTATTTTTACTTTATCACTTGCAGTTTTATGGATTCACAGTTCGACATCTAGCGGTACATATTAAAAGTAATATTGTCGTATTTATGCTTTTGAAACATTTTTTGAATTAGGTAAATGATCATTTTTTGGTCGATAGATCATTATTACCAAGGTTGATAAATAATCTTGTTCAATTTTTAAATGTGTAATTCACGCAAAAATTGTATAATATTCACCATCGTTAAACAGTACTCTCATTTTACTTTGTCGAGTGCAATAAGTTAATCAACCGATATTATAATTTCAAAGTAAAATATTTTATTTTACTTGGAAATTTTTATAATTTTTTTTTTCGATAACTGCAGACTACCTCAATTATAATAAATATAATTAACTAGCTGTACTCAATGAAAAACTGTTAATTATATCGAGACGCGCGTTTGTTGAAAATCGAAAACTCGCCGGTATATAGGAGTCGGGGTGGTATTCGCGTCGCTGCGGGGATTTTCCTTTCTATAAGCCTTTTGGCCAGTGCCATAGGTCCGAGTTTGTAAAATATTCAAGAGCCCGTCGAGGAAAAAGAAAAATCCTCGCGCAACACGAGCAGCAGCAGCAGCTCGGACAGAGCAGTCACAGCAATATCTTAAAAAGAGCACGAGCACACACACACACACAAACACGCGTAAGCGACCTTATCGCCTCGGGCATTATTCCATCGCTCTGCACAAACTCGACCTTTACCTTTTTTCCTTTTTTTCTCTCTCCTTATACTTGAATCTACTCGGGGGCTCATGTGCCCACTCCTGGCCTCTCTCTCTTTATACGTACATATACGTGCGTCGAACATTGTATAAATATATATCTCGCTTGAACTTTAAATGTATCCGGCGTACGGCTGAATAGGTTATGCCAGGCAAAAGCCTACGTATAACGTGTATATATCGGAAGTGGAAAGCTTTTTCCATAAAGTATGTCGACAGCGACACTGCGCTGTGTGCTATGCGCGCCCCGTTATACTGCGTTAACAATTTTTTTTCTCTCTCTCGCTCTATCTCTTGCTCTCTCTTGCTCTCTCTCTCGTTCTTTCTCCTCCCCTAGGTAAATCTGTCGATAATCGAGGAGGGCACAGGTGCGCATTACTGTATCACCGGCTTTATTATTGAAAAAAGCGAGCGAGCTTTCCTCCCGCTTTCTCGAGCTTTCATCTTCGAGCAATAAAGAAAAAATCGTAAAAAAAAAATCGCGTTGTATTACGGTAATTGATACTTCGAGCTTGCGAGCCCAGCGAAGATATTACAGATTATATAAATTATAATCTTGCATGCGTATAAACACGTGGCAGAAGCAGGGGAATGGGCAGTGAAGGGAGGGAGGATGGGGTGCATGCATATGCCCACACCGAAACTATACACAAAAGCTTTCATTAGAGAATACGGCGCTGCTGCTGCTGGAGCTGCTGCTGGAGCTGAACTCCAACCACACTCTGCGGCTTTTGGCCTTTACCGAGCTATGGCCGCGCGCGTATATACGTATACGCGATATGTAGCGGCAGGTATAGGCATACATAGGCGCGTAGATGCGCCGCTGCCTTTACACACACACAGACATCGACCTACTTGCGGCAGAGAGAGAGAGAGAGAGAGAGAGAGAGAGAGAGAGAGAGAGATAGAGAAGTTCGATTCGCTGGAGCAGATGGTGGCTGCACATCGGAAATCACGTTTATCATTATATGTGTATGCTGTGCAGCACACGCGTACGCGCATATATATTCAATGTCGCGAGCGCGTCAAGCTGCCGCTCGCAGAGAGCTTTGATAATATATATAATTATATAGCCCGCGATCCGGCTGACTGGCACTTGTTTTCGTACCCGTGACTCGGTAATTATTATTACGCGAAATTTGAGAAATTACTCGGTGCGTCGACGCGCGTCGATGGGGCCGAGCGAGATTACAATTATTATAAATACATTTTTAAAAGCTCATGCACTATTATTATACCCTCGCTCTTGGTTCCCGGGGCTTATTAAATTAATCAGTCTATGTCTCGTTACTGCTTATTTTACGTTCGTATGTACGCACCTCTCGCCGCGATCGTTTTGCGCGCGCGATAAAGTTTGTAAAAAATAAATTTAAATTCATCGCGCTCGACCGACGCGCTCAACGAGCTGATTGCTCGCCAAGAATAATCATCCATAAAATCACAACATACACACACTGCAGTATAATTTATTCAGCGTCGCTTTATTATCGATCGGTAATTGCGAGCTGAAAAATGAAAA